AGTTTATCGACCTATGCTGTTGATTTAAGCGCGCCACGTTCAATCTCAACATCTCCCACTCGTGTAGCGGTTTAGATTGATCAGTCCCATGTCATGGAGTAGTTTCTCATGTCGAAATCTAGCCAGTCCTTTAGTTAGTGCATCAGCAATGTTGTTCTCTGTTGAGATATATTTGATCTCTAGTTCTTTGGATTTTACCTTCTCACGAATGTAAAGATAACGCACTGGAATGTGCTTAGTCTTTCGGTGAAATACAGGATTGTTACACAAACTGATTGCTCCTTGATTATCGCAATGTAATATAGTAGCACATTGACTTGTTTTCTTTCCAAGTCTTCCAGCACGTATTTCAACCAGCTTGCTTCTTGTGATGCCGCGCATGCCGATATATATTCGGCTTCGACAGTTGATAGCGCTACAATGCTTTGTCTTCTTGATGCCCATGATACAGGTCCACCATTTAGCATAAATATATAGCCACTAGTTGAGTGACTATTGTCTTGATCGCCTGCATAATCGCTATCGCAGAAACCTGTTAATTTTTCTTCATGTCGATAGCATATACCAAGTTTCTTCGTTCCTTTGAGATAGCGAAGTATGCGTTTTGATGCCTTTCAATGTGCTTCTTTAGGATTTTCTACGAATCGACTGAGTAGGTTCACTGAATAGGCTATGTTTGGTCTTGTCATATTAGCTGCAAATTGCAATGATCCTATTAATTCTCGATAAGGAATCCTCTTCATGGCTTCTTCACTCTTTGAGTCCATGTCCTTGCTCAGTTTCACGTTCATGTCCAATGGCGTTGATACTTCTTTTGCATCCTGCATGCCAAATTTGTCAAGCATTTTGTTAATATAAGCTCCTTGATGAACAGTGATCGATCCGTCTTCAAATCTTTCGACTTCGAAACCAACGAAATAACTTAGATTGCATACTTTAATTTCAAATTCAGTTTTCATTTCGTTGATTATCTTATCTAGTATACTCTAATTCTCACACAGTAACAGGCCATCATCCACATAAAGTATTAAATAGAAGTTGAATCCCCCTTCTTTTCCTATAAATAAGCAATCGTCTGCTTGAGATTTTTAGTATGATTGGAGAGTAATTGTGAACTTGGTGGAACATACAATATATTAGCGAACACGTGATCAGCATACTAAAAATTATTATTGACAAAACGCGAGCTTATTAAAATTAATTGACATAAATTTTTTATTACTAACGGTTTTTCGGTTTTTTATGTGTTTTTTGTTTCTTTTTTCTTTTTTTTTTTTGTTTATTCAATAATCTGCAATAGTATCAGGCAATCACGTAGTCGGCGGATATAAATTTAAAAATAGAACATTATAATTTAAATTGTTCTGCAACTGCAATGTTCTTGGCTGCACACATACGATTGCGAATTCTTAATATGTTATACTGTATCTTCTTATATATAAAAAATTGTGTAAAGATTTATTGTTCATGTAATGAAATTTTCTTTGTTTGTGTATTACGGATTACGAGTATGTTCCAATTTTTAAATTGTAATACGAAAAAGTTATTGTACTGAAGATGGTCACATTGTCGACCGAAACGTTTACTTTATTTGTTTGAAATATATGTTTTAAGCTAAATACATCAAGCGTTGTGGCTGTATGCTCCTTTTTGTTTTAAAAAATTTTTTAATTTCAGCCACTTATTTATCTTATCTATTTTATTTGGACACAAGCATTAATATGTGTATGAAAATACCGTTTTTTGAATTTATTAAATTTTATTTTGGTTTTCAAATATATATGTTATTGAAGAATTGTATTAAACTCATGAAATCCAACGTTAAGATAAGAATACCAATACACTTTTTAAAGATTTGTTTAAACGAAGAACTTTTTCCAACACATTTAAAAACATTTAAATATCGTAACTTAAATATATTTCATAGCACCTCTTTATGTAGAATAGAACGTCTGATCTACAATTTTAATTTGAAATTATTACGTATAGAGTTGAATGATGCGTATAGACAACTATCTTGTATAAGACATGATCTTTTTTAAGAATTATAGTTTAATCACTAACTCACTTCCGTTTGACATTTGTAATGCGTTTTTCCGTCGCCAGGAATTGAATTTTAATAGACTGTGGAATCAAGAACATTATAATATTGATAAAAAAATTAATAATCTACAAGCAGCAAAATTTCGTATACAGAAAGACAAAATAAAAACTATTAACTACAATTTTGAAATCACAATACCTATTGACAAAGATTTAAATAATACTTTTTGTCCGACAAAAATTAATAATATTTCAACAAATGACATTCGAGCAAATAATTTGACGATAGTCAGTGCCGTAACTAGAGCGGTGCCATCGGTGCCGCCGCACAGGGTGCAATCGTCAGGGGGGCGCGATTGCGACCATAAATAATTTTTTTTTAATGAAAAATATAAATATTTTTTTTATATAAAAAGTATCAAAAAATATTTTAAAAAAATTGGGAAAAAATGTATTTGCCAACGTATTCATATCTGTTCAAGACATTACACATCGGGCGATTACACATCGCGGTTAGCGCGTTGAAAACGTCTGCAGATGGTTCCGGCATTCGAGTTCAAACGAGCTTCGCGCCAGTATCGTCGAATCAAGACAGAAGTAAACGGGAGTCAGGCGGTCACGTGGGAGTCAAGCCTACGTACACACATACCGCCAGGGCATGTCCATGAACGATCCGGCATAGGCTCTCACGTGACCGCCTGACGCCTGACTCCTCTCTTGTTATTTCGCTACGCTGTTTTACTCGCTCGCCGCGTCGCTGTCTTATTCGATCGTCGCGTTGTCACTTGGGGGGAGAAAGTGGAGAAGGAAATTCTGGCAACACCTCGCGTGTGGTGGGGCAGGGGCGTGTTCGGACAGCTTGGATGCTCCGTGCTTCGTACGCCGCGCGCCATCGCTCATCAGTGTAGCGATTCTGTAGCGATTCATAGTCGTTTGAAATCGTTTCCCATAACAACAATCGCCCGTTGTAGCATTTATTGATTTATAAGACTGCCGGTAGCTAGTCGCGAGCTGGCTTACTTCTTACTCTACTTTGCACCATATTAGGGCTGCGTTCAGATAGGGGAAAGTAGGCGAATTGTGCGCAGCGGGTAATTGTGCGCATCCTGGTTTGGTGCTTTGCCGATAGATGGAGACATCGCCGTGATGAAATTTTTACGCAGAAGGTCGTCC